TAAATTAGCTTCAGTTCATTGAAACCGAAAAAGACTTTTTTTTCAATATAATAATAACTTTTTTTTTAATTAACCCCTGGTTCGGAAAAAAACTCCAGAAGAATCAGCAAGAAACCCAGCGATACTTCAAAAAATAAAGCTTACAATCATGTAAAACAAATTAGAAATAGCTTGATTAAAACTACTTTTACGGATTTTATCGCGTTTATTTTTACTTTTTATTTACTTTTATTTTTAATTCCCGACGAGAACATATAGCTGATGTGAAGCATCAACGTTCCGGGAAGTCTGCAGTTTGTGATCATATCCTAGACGGACCCAACCATTACATCAGATTTGATAGACCACAAATCCTCGCGAAAGAACACCGATTCCTACCAAGGATGATACGTGAGGCTATTGAAATTAAAAAACATCCTAATTTCAATAGAGAAGGAGGCTGGGTACTACCACCTGCTTGGGATCCTATAATCAATAAAATTAAAACTAAACCCAAGCATACCACTGCAAGACCTTAGGACATAGTTCATTTTTCATAGATCGGAACATAAACAATAATTAAAAAAGCTGAAGCTGGTACTCCTGGTTTAACAATTACATTGTGATGTCAGTCATCTCAGTCCCCCCGTGACCATGGGTGCTGGAAAGCGCCCGAAACGTCGGGAATTAAAAATAAAAGTAAATAAAAAGTAAAAATAAACGCGATAAAATCCGTAAAAGTAGTTTTAATCATGTATAGTGTTCGCGTAAATATAAGAAATCATTATAGAAATAGCTTGGTAGCAATCATCTTTCCCAGGAGCTATTATCATCCATAAGGTCATTAATATTATAATAACCCTTTTTATATAAACTTAATTTAATAAAGTTTTTGATATCAAATTTTGTATATTTTGTTACATTTGTTATATTTTCTAGGATTTGTTGTAAAGTGCCCCAAGAATGAATTACTGACTCGGTGGAGTCGCGTAACTGGTACCACTAGCTTGTGTCTGTTCCTAGTATTTACAGAATGAATATCACTCATTTTTGTAAAACTACTTTTATTTTTGTGTACGTACATTTACATTAAAAGTAATAAATGCCATAGAGACAATTTTAAAAAAAAATCTTTAGCACCACTCCTGCAACTCATATTACTAATAAATTCTAAACTTACTGAAAACTTGTAAATAGCCTAATATTTTGCTATAATTACATTCTATGTTGTATAACCATAGAGAAGAAATCCATAAATATAACCAATTATGGATTTCTTTTTTACTCCGCTTGTCGCAAAAATTCTTAATTTTAGGTTGACGGATGGTTCATTATAGCATGATGTATGAGTTTGCGAGTGTCAAAATACATGACATAAATAGCCGTATCATTTAATTGTGTTGAGTTAAAGAATTAAACTTTTACACCTTAACATGAACGTATAGCTTTTTTCAACAGACTTCAAAAAGGAGGTAGTTCTCAATTTGACTATTTTTTATGTGTGTTACCTCAGAACTTTTTCTAGGTGAACCGATTTCGATGACTCTTCCTCTATTTGAAGTTCCATGTAGTCCCGTATAAGTTTCATTAAGATCTGACCAGTAGTTTTTGAGTTATCCTTAATAATGCGTATTTAATTGACTTTGATTTCATTGATGATGCTCTCATTTTATTTATATTGAAGTTGGTTGTACAAAGTGTTTTAAATTTACCACTCATGTTGATAACTATATGTATATGAAAAACAACAGCTTGCATTTTGCTACGATATGTTTGTTGGTTATGGGTCAATAAGAAATTCTTAACAGCAGTTTATAGCTTCAATAACGATTTTACGATGTTCCTGGTTGTACGCTGCACGTGTTAAAAGTATAAACGGCATCACTTGGACGTAAATTAAAATTAAATTAAAGAGTGGCCAGTGTCATTAAGAAAAGAAACTTTTTTATTTAGACTTTCAGTTTCCTATTTAATTTTAAACGGTGTTAACTCATCTAAACAGGGCTGCATCGTATATTGTAATAAGTATTTAAGAAATTATAGTTTAATATTTCAATTTGTTCTTATGGTACTCATCGTAAATTTATGTATTTTTTATTCTACAGGATGTGTATAATATCTTAAAGGAATCAATTCAAAACCTCTTTTGACTGTCACTGAAAAGTGATCACTTAACATTGATATCATCCCAGAAAACACGGCCCTGTACCACCTGTAACCACCGATTTCCCGAATGCCAACATTCGTTAACCAGTACGACTATTAAAAACATTGGTATACCGAAACATAAAAAGTATACTGGATGATAATAAAGACTTTAATGTAAAGCCATTATAAATTGCAGCCTTACATCAACATGACATAACTAATATAATCACTACGTTCTAGGCATAGCAGTTGCCATGATTTATAAAAATGTTACAGAGTAATCGACTTAAATAAACTACCTCTATAAAAGTGTTATTGGAGTAGTCATTATCTTCATAATTATTTTTTTTCTGTAAAATTTTTAGACCGCCGATGAATCGTGATTTTTATAAAAATGCATAAGTATAAAATATATTTTCATATTAATATCCTTTTATATAGCCAGCCCATGGCCACTTCAGTTTAAAATAGTAATAATGTCCCCTGGACCGAATTTCGGTTGGTCTCAACGGAGACTAGCCATCTGCACAGGACAGGACTATAGTACTCAAATGCATACGCAAGCACACATGCACTCTTTATTCCCTCACTCTCTAATTCTTATGACTATTATAGACCGGAAAGAGATCAGGCGCAGGACCTTCAGCTTTACGAGCTTTCCAAGGCATGGGGAAAACACGGCCAATTGCCCACTTACCGCCTTTGGGCTGCTACTGAGAATTTCTTGACAGAAAAACCCAATAACTGCCGATCCGGGATTCGAACCCAGGACCTCATGCTCAATAATCGCGTTTATGACCACTAGATCAATATGGTAGTCAACTCCAGCTCACTGATCCGTCGGGCTATGTCTGTTAGTTTGGTTGCACTTCGGACATCTTCATTTCGAATTCTACCAAACAGAGAAACTGAAAATAATTCTCTCCAAGCTTTGTTTCCATAATACTAGCAATACCAGCGTAAAATAGTAGCTGAATGCTGCTGTGTTTCGTATGGTGAGTGTAGAGAACCGGACCCTTTTCACTGGAAACGAGGTATTCCATCTTAGTCCTCACGGGTGACAACGCATCTGCATTTTGATTTGTAATCGAGGATAGATGTAGGTGTCTATGGGCCGCAGCAACCACTTACTATCCGGTGGACTGTGTGTTAGTTTGTTACCCTATCATATTATATATCATATTATAAAAAAAACATACGGCCTGCAGTGAAGGAACACGTCTCAGATACATATATTGTTATCAACACGCACTTGTTGTTCACTTTTGTTTTTTTTAAGTTTTGAGGAATGCGCACCAAGATGTGTCGTTCGTTATCTCCCGAAAGCTGTCCAGCCGAGTTGGATCCGTTGATTAATAGGAAGCCGATGGTTGTAGGTTTCTTAAGACCGTATTTTGTAGCATTCCTTGTAGGATGCCTGTGTTCAGCACTGGACTTGCGCCGGGCTGTAGAAATGATAATGATATTTTTGCAAGATTCAATCTCATTTCCACGGGCACCTTACTAACAAACGGTGGTCTTGCTACTGATGGTGGAAATACACACAAATGAATATGCTGAAATAAAATCCTACATACTGACAATGAGTACCACCATTACCGATGCCAGGATACTCTGCTCGCTTATCTACTTGCTTAGAGTGAATGAATTGACTCAGCAAAATTCACGTGATAAACTAGCGCTTGAAATTACATTTAATAATTTTATTAATGCCAATGAGGTTCAAAACTAGGTTGCTGGCGTACTTGGAAGTTTTAAAAGATGCATTTTTAACGGATTCTTAATGGGATATAGTAAGTCAGCTCAAATTCTAATTTCGCCCCCATTTCCCCGCGCGTCGTATGCTATGTACCGATATGTTTATAATCACTAATACTGTAAGCAGAAAGGTCGTTAGACACTTATTTCATTAGGTTTATCATATTTATGCCTGTTTCTTAACGCCAACCCAGTCGCTTCTTATTTTTATCACGGTTATTTCCCATTTTAATTTTACGTCGTACGAGAGACATTAAAACAACAATTTGCTCAGACGCCGGTAGCCATTATGTCTATATAAAGTTGCTACTTGCCATTTCCAGAATAACCAGAATTGGTGTAGTCGCCATCTAGCGAACCTTTTAGAATTTAATGTTCGAAAGTTTATGGGGATATAGTACAAGATGGCACTAGTGTCTTTGCAAATTATTGAACCCCAACCTAAAGTATAGAAAAGTACCCCCCCTGCCTAAGCGATAGTAACGGGGCGACAGGAATCAAGCATCAAGACGCCGATAGTTTAGGTAATTTCGTTTTACAGTGAAAATAATGGTATTTAAAAAAAAGTAAATAACATAAGCACTGCTTTATAGTTAGTTCAGTTAGTATGCAAAGTTTCATGATCATATTTAGTATTTTATGAATAACAGCGGTTTATTGTTCAGTTTGGAGGTAACTTTGGATTTTTTTTCAATCGAGAAAATTTTACGGAATTGTGTTTTCGTCTAACATAGTCCTTTAACATCAATCCTCAACTTTACCATATATTTATTTCAAAAATTAATGCTGCAATACTTTCGGCATAACGGAGGATCTTGCTAAGCCATTTGAGGTTATATTTCCCCTTAAGTATGTTCAACATAAATCGTATCGTATAGTGTGTATAGATAAACGAAGAGAAGAAATCCTTTTTACTGGTAAGAGGAATTTTATCTTTGGCCATTATGATTCTTAATCGATGAGGGATATTGATGTCTATAGACCTGAACATTTACTTGACATCAGGTACTCACCCTTACTATAAAAATCTCAACGGTGAATCAAAATGGTCATAAGAAATCAAACTCTCTGTGGTTGTGTGTGTATTGAAGTGTGTTTCATATTATCTTTTAGCGATGAAAAAGTCGTGCAAGCCTGCAATGTTAGGGCGCATATGGCATGCCAGTCGACGCGCCCTGAACCTGGAACACTCACCACCGCATCAGTTCGCCTGCTGTCAGTGGCAAAGCGGTCATCGACCATCAACTTTATACCTCATTTACAGGTAAAAGCTAGTAAAAATAAACATTTACGAATATGGAACTAAGGAATGTCAGAAAAATTTCGGATCCTCTACTATAGTAGTATCACCATTTTGGATAAGTCATATATAACAGATAGGTATTTATTGGGTAGTAGGACAATTTTTGTACCTGTAAATTCGTTTGAGTATTATTTATTTAGTATTATACCTATTTACTTATTTATTTTATATTTAGCCGAGATGGGAGATATATTAAAGATATAGAACGAAGAGTGAACGTGAGAAATAGTAAATGGAGCTCTACACTCTATTGTGGAAAATCAAAATGTGTCGAAAAAGTCACGTATGGCAATTCACAATGCTGTGTTGGTTCCTACTATAAGCTATGGTAGTGAAAGTTGGGTGTGGCAGAAAAAGCACGAGAGTAGAATAAACGCAGCAGAAATGCGGTCATTAAGGAGTATGTTAGGGCTTAATCTGAGTGACAGGGTGAGAAATTGTGTGATAAGAGAAGGTTTTGGTTTTCAAGATGATGTGACCAGGATTGAAAAGGAATGCTTCGGTGGTTTGGTCATGTATAAGGAATGAATGAGGAAAGAGTGACAAAGCAAATTTATGTTGCAGAAGTGACCGGCAAAGTCAGAAAGGGACGTTCTAGACGAAAGTTTATCGTCCAAATTGGCTATATATTGAAAATAAGACAAATTAGGAGTACTTTTATCCGACGAGCATGTAATGTACTATATGTAGGTATATGAATGTGGAGGAGGCGAGAGATATGTGTCGGGATCGTGCCAAATAGAAGTATGTAGTCTCTGCCTACCCCTCTGGGTAACAGGCGTGAGTGTTTATGTTTATGTATGTGTTTATGTTTATTATACCTATTACTTTCGGAAACAGTAATACTTGGACTGGTGAGTTTAGGTCTAAAAGATATAGAAAGTAAGTATAATGACAGATGGTGAAGCATCTCGGTCCACAGAGATGTAAACGCATCTCTAGCCCATTTCTTTTGTTTGAAGTTAATTGCAGATGTCTAAGAGCTGTAGCAGCCAGTTACCATAATGTAAACTTTAAGATCGATTCAATTTTTTTTAAAATAAGACCAGCAACAGGAATCAGCGTCAAAGAGTGCGAAATATCTGGTAGTGCAATCGACAATCCGCCTGCTTAACATGTCGACAAGTGCGGGGCAAATATTCCCTACTAAATAAAAGATCAATTTCCAGCTGTGGACTGACACCGTTACCGTCATAGCCTATTAAAGTTAGCAGCTCAGCAGCGCTGAACATGGCCTCCCCATAGATTGCCTCATAAGGGGGATATTTGCCATAGTTGCCACGCTTGGCAAGCGGGCCGACAACTGCAGTTTTCTATTTTATATATACGTGGTAGAGCCATGCTGCAACTGTATTAATAGTATAGTTGTAGCACGAATGGGTCGGCTCGACCGGGGAAGGACCACGCTCTCACAGAATACCAGTGTCAAATAGTAGCTTAATGCTGCTGTATTTCGTATGGTGAGTGTAGAGAATCGGAGACCGTTTTTACTGGAAACGAAGCATTCGATCTTAGTCCTCACGGGTGACAACGCATCTGCATTTTGATTTGTAATCGAGGATAGATGTAGATGTCTATGGGCCACAGCAACCATTTACCGTCAGGTGGACTGTGTGCTCGTTTGTCACACTATCCTATAAAAAAATACCCACGGGAGGATATGGGATAGTGGATATTCTTACATTGCCACTGCACGGTAACTGTTGACTGTTACGGTATGAGAATTTTCCAACCTTTCCATAGTTGCTTCTTATGAGAACCAAGGGAGGAAATGGTATGATGGATTTTTTTATACCGTCAAAATACACCTAATTAAAAGTCAAACTAAGATACGTGGTACGTAAAGTTCAGCCATAAGTAAATTTATTTTCCCGTCCGATGATGAAAGTAGTTCACTAATGTAGTAGGGCTCATATATCCTTGCGTCAGCTAAACAGCAAAAAACGAGAATGTATTTCACCTTTGACCACCATCTTGTTATTTTGTTACATCGTTCAACCTAGAAGCATCATTTTAATCTTCAACAATGTGTTCACAATTATAATAACTGAAAACAATATCATAATTGATGTCACAGAGTTCACACAATTATAGCCTTACCTTAATTACTAGTAGTTAAGTTGACTATTCAATATTATAATATTTGAAAAGAATAATTCTACTAGCCTCATTAATTCTTTATAATCATAAATTTTTGGCATTGTACCAGGGTGGTCTGAAAAGTTTCCGACCATCTGACTGCAGTTGTGTATCTTTTGACAGTTACGCACTAAAATTTCAGCCATTTTGGACGTGTAGCTGTAATTTGACAGTCGTTTGAATGAGTCGATGTAAGTGTTTTTGTGAAAGTTAAAAAATTGAGTAACGAGTTTTTGAAAAGAAATACGCCTACGCAAATCAAAGATGAATTGGATGCTGTGTATGGGGACTCTGCACCATCGTTTATCACAGTGAAATTTTGGGCAGCTGAATTTAAACGTGGCCATGAGAGCTTGGGAGACGATGAACGTTCGGGACGTCCAAAAACTGCAATTATTGACGATAACATCGCTAAAAAGATAAGATCCCTTCCACAGAGATCGTGATCCTTGGCGATTTTAACGCCCACCACGCTGAATTATGATTTTGCCTTGGCATATGGTCTTACACAGCTGGTTGCTTCGCCTACACGGATTCCAGATGTGGAGGATCATGCACCCTCCATGTCGGACCTTCTACTAACAGAGAGATATCAGGTTTCCGTCGACAACCCTCTTGGCTCCTCGGACCATTGTCTAGTCCGGAGTGTGGTACCACTCACGCTAACGTTGCGGTGGCATTCTGCAGGCTGCTGCCGTGTTTGGAACTACATGTCAGCCGATTAGGATAAGATGTGGTCTTTTATTGTATCCTGCCCTTGGGGGCGGTTTTGTTTCTAGCTAGATGATCCCAGCGCTGTTACTGATTCTGTCGCTGATGTGGTACTTCAGGGTATGAAACTTTTTACTTCATCTTCTGTGATGCCACCGGAGGCAGCCATGATTTGGTCGCTCCCGTAAAATAGCATCAGATATAAGCAGCTGTACTACCGGTAAGCCCGGGCCTGGGCTGACACATCAACTTCTCTGGATCTAAATATCAGCGCTCCTGAAAAGTAATACAATTCTGCCTCCAGGTCCTTCAAAAAAGACATTGCCATCCTATCGGCAGAATTGGCGAGAAGCTACTTCGCCTTCATTCGGAAACCTCTAGTTCTGGTCTCTCGCCAAAGCTGTCTAAGGGAACTTCTGTCAGCTATGTCTTCCATATCTGCACAGAGAGGACGACTCACTGGCCTATGCTCCGGGGTTGGCATTGGTTTTAACGTGTTCCGGTATTTTACTCCCAAGGCGTAGTCCCGAATTCATGGAAGACGGCACTAGTCCACCATATCCCTAAAAAAGGCAACCGCTCAGACCAGTCCAACAACAGGGCTGTCGCCATCACCTCCTTGTTCTCAAAAATAATGGAAACCATTATAAACTTCCAACTCTTGAGGTACCTTGAGGATCACAAGCTGATTAGTGATCGCCAATATGATTTTCATCGCATCGATCAGCTGGTAATCTTCTGGTCTACTTGATTTATAGATGGACGAAAGCAATAGAGTCATGTAGAGGAAGGCATTGGCTGTCAGTTTGGACATAGAGTAGGTTTTAGATTGAGTTTGGCACAAAGCGCTTCTTACGAAGCTCTCTTCCTATAGACTTCCCGAGAAATTTTGCAATGGGATCACCATTTTGCTGATCGGAGCATCAAGGTCGTAGTAGACGGTGTATGCTCTGATTACAAGCCTATGAACGCGCGGGTGTTAAGGAGGAAACTGAAGAGTCCGATGATAACATGATCCGATGGACACCTCCTCCTTTAAAAATAGCTTTAACTTACAGCCGTGATGTTCCGTTGTAAGCTTTATCGGGCTTAGTTATTTAAACAAAAATATTTGCATATATAATATTTGTGTATGTGAAAAAAAATTAGCTTGAATTTTGATTGGCTGGTTGGTCAATTACAGTCGAAAAAGCTTGACAACTTTATAGTTCAACAACTAATAAAATAGTAACCAAAATGAAAAATTTAAGGAAATAACTTTTGTTTTGTTTTCAGGTGGCTTATATTTTTAACTGTGGTGTCAATAGCAATAGCGAGTTTCGCATGTCAGCGCCTGCCAAAACTTTACAAAGGGCCCAAAGTCGAGTTGAACTACTTCAAATGGTTCATCTACTTCACCAACTGGGGCTACTTGCTGATAGCTTTGCAGGCGGGCCTGGCGCTGGCTGTAGTACATCACTACCGAGCTGAGAGAACGCTAACCATGAGTGAGTACCGTTTGAAATCTATACACTCAATTTCATCAACCATTATCTATATATATATATATATATATATATATATATATATATATATATATATATATATATATATATATATAAATCAATTGCTGACCGTTAGACTCGCTAAAACTTGAAAACGGCCAGGAACGATTTTGATGAAATTTTTTGTGTGCGTTTGATTGGGTCTTGGAAGGTTAAGATTTACAACTGAAACCAGTAGGTGGTGCTGCTGTCGAGAACCAGTAACCATCGAATTGCTTGTTTTTTAAATTAAACCAAAAGACAAATACTTTGATTTAATTTCTTTATATAATAATCGTTGGTGGGTCTGTAAGGCGCTGTCCGATTGCCATCGCTCGCACGATGTTGCGTTGCGATTTCATTGTCCGATGAATCCGCACGCACGATTTCTTCAGTCGCATCGCATGATCGCACGACGTTCAATAGAACATTCCGCAGATATGAGTATGTTTAAACGCACGGTCGCACGATCATTTACGTCGGACGCAACGCATGATCGCGCGAGCGATGGCAATAGGACAGCGTCTAAGAGATCGTGGAACTCAGGTCACATTCACACAATATATTTGTTTTGTAAAGACTACAAGTTCAGAACTATACTAGAATCCCGTAGGTGGCGCTGTGCTGTAGTCAAGTTATCAACACATTCTATATTTATGGACTAAACTGATTCATATTCACAATATACATATGTTGGTTTAGTAACAAAAAAGAACACAAAATCTGAATTATCTCATAGGTGGCGCCGTGTAATTAATAGAATTTTATATTGAAATCAAACTCTTCACGCCATGTATCGCAAACTACATAGTAACGTATGCCTGACTAACCAGTTTAATATAAAATGATGGTTTGGTATTGGAGACAGTTTACCTACATAGACAAATTTCACAACCATCCAGATCTTTCTACACTCAGACGCACACATCATTCTCACTGCATGATATTACATTATAAAATTATTAAATTAAAATAACTAGCATTATATTTTTAAAATTTCATTGTAGTGAAAAGTTCTTCAGGCACGTCGGACACTTTTGGGATGGGGAAAAAGCGTTGAACTCGCGTGACCGTCACGCTCAGATACATAAAATTGACGAAAGTAATGTTGAAATTTTAAAAAAAAAGATATTTATTTACAAATTTGTGTTTTATATAGACAATAATCATTATTATATATCATAAATAACAAACAATTTATTTATATATTATAAATAAGTTTATAAAAATAATTTCTAATAAAAACTACTTCCGAAAATAATATTTCATAACAACCCATAATTAATGTTTACAAGTTCGAGAAGCTAAGAAGTTTCACTTCCGAAGTGCAGTCCCACTACTGACAGTTTTTTTTTTTCAATAATACAATTGTTGTATTGATCCCAATATTACATCACATCAACAGCTTTTTTAAGAACGCTACATGGTTTTTCGAAGCGAAAGCTAGCTTTTTCCGCTTAGTTAACTTACCAGCACACCAAAAGTACACCTATGAACATAGGAGTCATAGATAACCTGATAGGGGTAGGGGTAGTGGATATTTTCCATAGCTGCTGCGCTAAGTAAGCGTGATGTCTACTGCAGTTTTTTTTTAAATTGTTTTATGAAAGTCGCGCGGCTCGGCTCGATTCACTGGCACTGCGAAGAGATGTTGCATCTCTTTGCATATACCATGGAGAGTGCTCTGAGGAATTGTTCGGATTATTCCCAACCGCCAAATTTCGTGAAAGCACTACGCGGCAAATGTCCCCATAACATCCACACCATCTGGATGCTTGGCGGTCCACCACTGTACGTTTCAAAAGGAGTTTTCTTCCGCGTACAACCTCTCTGTGGAATAGTTTACCACCGGCGATTTTTCCGGACCGATACGACCTAGGGACCTTCAAGAAAAGAGCTTACTCCTTTCTAAAGGGCCGACAACGCACCTGCAATTCCCCTGGTGTTGCGGTTGATCATGAGCGGCGGTAGTCACTTAACATCAGGTGAGCCGCATGCTCGTTTGCCCCCTCTTCTATAGTTACCCATACCCAGGTTTGTTTCGTTCTGTCACCTCTTACGACATCCGTGGGGCTAACAACCCTGTGTTGATATTCTTACACCGCCGCTACACGGTCAAGATTTAGCACCACGCAATAATCGAACTGTACTGGGTGCAAGCAGGCAACACTAGGAAACTGATACTGATGCTGATATCATTATCACCAGACTAGGAAATTTGGGTTCTCCCTTTTGAGGTCGTGGAAAAAGTAAAATATTACATTATTCTATTTGAAACATCTAAAAAGACTTTTTGGTATTTGTATAATTTTTTATTAGTTGTTAATCTAAAAACCTAGGACGGCTACTTTAGTATTTCAGAAAAAAGGTACCGAAACCAAAATTACACAATGAACTTACAAAAATTAAACTTTTAATGAAAGTATAAGCCATCTTTAAAGAACTGAAAAGAATCAGAAACTTTCCACAAAATAACTTTAGAAGTTGGTGCTCAGACATAATGTATTCACATCAAATAATATACGTAGACTACTACGTAGACTATTAGCATTCTATATTCAAAGCAATTGACGAGTATTCTGCAAATTTCCTTTTTTTATAGAATGAGGGTGACAAAATAGCACACAGTCTACCTGATGGTAATTGGATGCTGTGGCCCATAGACATCTACATTTATCTTTAATTAAGAATTAATATGCAGATGCGTTGCCGGCCCTGAGGACTGAGATAGAATGCCTTGTTTCCAGTAAAAAGGGTCTCCGGTTCTCTTCACTCACCATACGAAACACACGAGCATTAAGCTGGTATTATACGCTGGTATTCTGTGAGAGCGTGGTCCTACCCCGGTCGAGCCGACCCATTCGTGCTGCAACCACGATATAGGTGCAGCATGACTCTATCATGTAATAACATAAATCTCCTGGCGAATAACAGCCGTATGAAACAGAAAGTTGCTTTTGGCTTTTGGATCATACAGACTCTACTACTCTTAAAATGAAAAATATCCACTAATGCATCTAACAATGTCAAGCCTCGCGTGATTACGTCTGTTAAGATCCCGGAGGAATGTCCGTCGGCTAGAGTGACTCAATTAGCTCCGGTGCCGCTCGCGTGTCATTAACATCGTAAATTGCCGATTACGCATCACGTCTGGACACGTGTTTCTGTTTGTAGAAATCAGTCACATCTTAGCTCCATGGGCCAGAAAGTATGCTTATTGTTTTCTTTATATAAGGATTTGATAAAGCAACACATTCCCAAGGCCACCCACTTTATTGCTAACATATAATAATATTTTTCCTTACGGTCCAAAGAAAATCTTTCACTCCAATGTCCTGTACACTCCTTGATATTTTATGATAAGTAGTTTTGCTGTTCTTGGAGAAGGACTCTGGAACTCCTTACCCCAGTCTATTAAAAGTGCTCAATCAGTAAACTTGTTCAAGAAAGAGATTAAGGAACACTATTTGCCTCTATAACACCTCCCTCTTCCTCCTCTTAGTTATGGTCATTAATCTACCTAAAGATTGTTGTCATTTTAGTACATATAAGTAGTTTTTTTTTTCTAATTTAGTGCACCCTACCCGTTATTCTTATTTTTATTTTTATTAATTTCCTCTTCTGGGTTGTCTGGAAGAGATTGCTATGTAGCAATAAAAACGCCTTTTGTTTTTCCCTCATTGTTTGTTCATTATTTGTTATATTTATGTTTCGTTGGTGTACAATAAAGAGTATTGTATTGTAATGTACACTATTTTTTTAATGAGACATCGGCCTCTTACGTTGCCTGCTTGGCAGGTGGATTGACGAATGTTAGACTTCTTACATTTTAGATGTATACCAATATGCTTTCTGAGTTTTATAATATTTATTATTATTTTAATTTTTCATTACTATCAAGTCTTTTATTTGTTTCATATCAATGGCCGGTTGTTCGTGATACCGATTGAAAACCACTACTGTGATACCCCGTAAATAATCTCTTATGAAGAACCCATTTGACATCACACAACTACTTATTTACCAATTTGTTATTGCATTTCTATGTGTTACAAAGTTGTGTGCTGGTATAATAAATTTTTCTTTCTTTCTTTCTACTCATATACTACCTCCTTTTACACCGAGCTTTTATACCGTCGTGGAAAAAATAGGTTGTAACAATTAACGGATTAGTTAGAAGCTTATGTATTTTAATTGAATTAGACCCTGCGATGTGACAAGGTCAAAGATGCCTACTAAATTTATTGTTTTATTGCCGTTCGTTAAGTAGGGTGGATATGATTTGAATTTCGATAGATTTTTATTAATTTAGTTCAAAATTTATGTTTTTATTTTTTGTAAAATTAAACTTTGCGTTTAAAACTTGGCGGCTTTTCCGTTCATATGTTACACCCTATTTTTTCAAGACGGTAAAAAAGGTCATCCAGTATATTACGTCTCATACCTTTTACGCTACTCTCCGTTGCCAGTCTAAGTATTTTCCCTGGCGAAAACATTATTAAGACCACCGTCTGTCGAATGTCACAAGATATTCTTAACATATCCCTAAGTCAAATCATACGACACCCACGGGATGAAATGGGGTGATGGTTTCTCTTAATCTGCCATCAATCGGCAATTTTATTTTAATTTGATCTATAATCATCTAAATTTTTGTACGTGGTAGAGCCGTGCTGTAGATATATTTTGGTTGTAGCGCGAATGGGTCGGCTCGACAGAGGAAGGACCACGCTCTCACAGGATAAGAACGTAAAATAGCAGATCAATGCTTCTGTGTTTCGTATGGTAAGTATCGAGAACCCATTTTACTGGAAACGAGGCATTACATCTTAGTCCTCAGGGGTGACAAAGCATGTGCATTTTGATTGTTAATCGAGGAAAGGCGTAGATGTGTATAGACCACAGCATCCACTTACCATCAGGTGGACTGTGTGCTCGTTTGTTACCCTTATTCTATAAAAATT